GTTTAATTCTATGCCCGGATTTCCTCTTTAGAACAGGGCTAGTAACTTCCCTGTAAACCACTGTCCGTGTCAAAAAATCACTACACTTGTCCATTTCCTTGAAGCAACCAGAGGGCTCAGCACACGCTTTGGGAGGTTGCATGTCTGACAGCGAGGAGCTGCTTAACTGTGGTGGGATGCCATGGCCAGGACACAGCACGGGGAAGCAGAGGAAGAAAGAGGGAAAACAAAAGGGAAGCTGTATCCCAGACATGCAGAGCACAGCTGGTATAGGACAGAGTGGAAAGCTTGACAAGCAAAAGTGGGACAGAAGAGCAAAAAGTGGGACAGAAAGCAGACAGGTGTACTTCAAGGTATGTATAGACACTCTGTCCTGCCAAAAAAAACATAAGTGAACAGAGCAGAGGTTGTCTGCCAGGTTGAAAGTTAGGTGGTGTGGATAGAGGAACAGAGGTCAGCTAGAGTGCATGAAGACAATTCAGTCCATTCTACACGTGCTCCAGAACTCAAAGATTAGGGGTGGAAGGAGCACTTTAAAGATTACAACTGCTCATATGGCTCTAGAGCACAAGGAGCTGGCTGAACTGCAGGATTCAGTGCTCCAGGAGATTTTGCACAATTAAAAAATATTCTGCAGATGGCAGGAGAGGAGGAACAGATGGAAAGCTCCCCACAGCAATGGCCATGTGGCTGCAGCCACCAGCTCAGTTGTTAAGATGTGAAGACATTTCATATCCAGTATGAATGCAGTGGGATAAGCTTCCTTTATACCCAGCAGCACACAGCCAAGATCCATGCCCTTCATCTCTCGGACACAAAACCTGATGTTTCCACCTCAGAGCATTTTGCTCACTACCACAGCTACCAAGAGGGTCTGTGGCCTCTTGACTCAGAAAAGCAGCTCTACAATTTGAGCATGACTACCTTGGTTAAAGGCAGAAGTTTCATCCAGTATGACACATCTGCTACAACACCTACAGAAATGTTTCTCACACAAACTGAGCCAAGCACAGAGGAGTTCATTCACTCTCTGCCAAGCCATGTCACTAAAAAACAAAAACTCCTGTGTCTGTGTCAGTCAGTATCCACCAAGGTGGGGCAGCTCGCTTGGCAGGAGGACAGCACGGCAGCATTCCTTTTTTCTGCCTGAAAGGGAGCTAAATCATAGGCTTTACAATGATTATGTTTTCATAGTGAAAGAGCATTGTCTGGAGATCATTCATTTTGGAAGCCTTGATCCAACACTTGCAGGGACATCGCCATCTCCCAGACTAGAGTGGAAGAAAACTACCTCCTGCTATGTTAAAATCGTATGTAGACCTCTTCATCTTCCCAATCCCTCAAATACAAAATTTTGAAGATTTTTATAAGTTTAAAAATGTTATTTTCCTCTTTCAAGGCAAATTTTCCATGCTCGAAGACTAATGACAACCTATCAGAAAAATCAGAGGCATTTGAACAGGTTTACTTGCAGAATCTAGTAAAGCATCACACTACCTCCTCCACATGATGCTACACTTACCAGTGCAGCTCTAGTGTGGACACAAATACCAAACACACAAATACCCATCACACATTTAATTTGTCATTTAGTTCCAAAATGACCCCATCCTTCTCATGATTTTAAATCTCTAACGGTGGCAGCACCTCCAGTGACGTGCATGTGGTAGCATGCTTGAATGAAAGTGCCATCAAACCATGAGAATTTGCCACAAGCTGTTTGCCATGACATGTGAAGGAAGCCAGTAGAGGCTCCATTTACTTATACTGTCTTCCCTTCTGTTGGTGTCTGCTGAATGGCTGTGGCAGCACTCAGGAACCCCAGCACCACACTCCACAAGGCAGCAGTCCCTGATCTGATAAGGTTTCTGTAAGACCTGTGCATAACAGCGAGGCCAGCAGTGCAGACAGGATTGCAGCAGAGAGTACAGCTGCTTCCAGACATGGCTTGTTAGAAAATGAGTACAGGCAGGGTCAGAGAAGGACTATGTCATATAAGCCAAACAAGCAAGAAAAAGGAGCGAACCAGCAAATTTCAGAGTAGTCAGCCCCCAAACCCAGCAAATGTGAAGTTTTTGAGAAGGGTCCAAAGAAGAAACATGCCCACGTGACTCTGCAAGGGAAAAACAAAGCATCAGCATAGCTGAAGAAAACGGCTCCCAGAGATCTGCAGCACACCAACAAATAGGCACCACCACAATTCCCTCCGATGCAGGAAGCCTCATTTCTGTTTCAGCTGTGCCCCTCCCAGGCTTCTCAGCTCAAATCAGTGCTCCTAATCTTCAGGTCTGCCTGTTGACTGAAGTCTGCCTAGAGTGATGTGACCCAGATTGTGCTTAAATACAGCCAAGCTGAGCACAGTGGCAGTCAGTCACCCTCTCTGGACACGGTACCTGGCATCCCAAAGAGCCTGTTGTCAAAAAGTTCAGCTGTATCAAATGCTCAGACTATATGGACAGGAAATATCTGGCCTGGACTGCCTAGATCAACTAGTAAAATGTCACTTCTCCCTTCTTTTTAGTCCTCTGTCATCTTAGTCCCTGTATGCACGAATGCAAATGAATCACAAACATAGAAGAGGTTTCAAGTGAGCAAAGGAGGGCACACTGAGTCTCACAGCAGGCTGCTACACCTGCCTCTAAATTACATATAAAGCACGTTCATGCTGCACAGAGTATAAGTATTCAACTACTTACCTAGCTTGAATTCAAGCTAGGAATTAATATGAAATAAATTTTGCTCAGCCTGGGACTCTCTGGGAAGGTGTGTCATGCTCCACAGCCCAGGTCCTGCATACCACTCCAAACCTGAACACAACCACAATGAAGCAATTCCTGCTGATTGGGACATCTCTGGCTCGTAGAGATCCATTTGGCTACATGTGCTCTTTAAAAATTAACATTGCTGAAAAAGGGCAAATAAACAAAGGAGGTCAGAATCACCTGCAAGTACTTTACCAATGCAAGACCACTCCTACCATTCACTTCAAACAGCAAAACCTCATAGCTAGCACCAATTTAGCCAGGAAAGTAGGCAAAAATTCCACCATGATATATCTGCAAGTAGCACCACAAGCTTTACAATTAAGATGTGCAGTCATGACCACAGCAAGTTAAGATCACAGGAGCAGGACATGCTGCTACCCATGGGCACTCCTGAACTGAGTGGCCACAGAGGAGACAGATGCCAGACCCATGGAATCATATCCCTAATCAGAACACACCCAGAGGTCACCCCTGCCATAAAGAGGAGTTCAAGGCTCCTGCCATTCACTCAAAAAAGACTTTTTTCCATAGGGAGCCACTTTAGTGCAAAGCAGTCACATCCTTTAGTTTAAAGAGCATGCCCCTTAAGCTGCTTCAGGTTTCCCTCCCACAACACCAAGTCCTCCAATTTAAAAAGGCAAAGCCAGTCAGCACTGAAGGCTCTGAACGTGAAAGGACTGAACTAGAAGGAACCCAAGAGAGAAGCAACTGCTCAACCTCCAAAGCCTTGTCAGCATGCATACTTGCAGATCAGCACCCCGTTTTCTCTGGAGCTGCTCTAGAATGAGGTGTTAGCCTGCTCCCAACCATGGCTCTTCAGCTGAGGCCACAGCTCAGGACAAGGCAGAGCAGAAGTGTGTACTGACCACACCTGGGGAGTCCTCTGGGTGAGATGTCACTGCCATGGGGTTACCAAACAGGAAAAGAGGCTGGAATGGTCTTGGTTGCAGCAGGAATGACATTCTATACATTTAGCCCATCTCAAAAGGAACTGGGTCTCCTCTACCCTCCACATGTATGACTTCCAATTTCTTTATAAAGGGCCTGTCAGTTGTTATTAGAAAGACCATACATAGATCTAAACTGGTACAAACTTCTCTCCAGAAGAGACAAACTTTCATTAGTGGGAGAAAAAGGGAAAAGGAGGAATTAAAAACAGCCATGGGAAGTGTGAGAGGGTGAGAGAAATGAGTGAAAAAACACTGCTTTCTCAAGGTCACTGAGGAGCAGTCAAGGCCTGCAGTGAAATGCTGAGAGCTGTCCAAGGGCATGAGAACATAAGGTGAACTGAGCTTTTCACTCATTTCCACTGCTGAGAACAGCCCCTGCCTCATTGCAGTGTTAATTTCCAACAAAATACGGAAACAAATACCTTGTTACAGCAAATAATTAAATTGCTTTAGTATCAGACAAGCCCAGGCAAAAGCAGTCTCTGTGGACAGCTGAGCTGCTGTGAGTGGCCCCTGTAGCCACACCTTCAACAAGGAGTTAATGGGAGGCTACAAACTGTTGTAACCTCTCTTTCCCATTTGCTCAGGGATTTGCTCGCTGAAACAGAGGCTACTGCTCTTTAACCTGTCTGAGAAACCTTTTCCCCTAACATAACCCCAAGATTCTGTGAAGCCCTCTCATGTTCATATAAATATATATTAAGAAATCTACTTCAAAAGCACTCATGTTGAAATTAGTCTGCAATCCCTTTGTTTAAAGTTGCTACTGTTCCACAAACGCTGTCTGCAGTAGTGGAATTGCTCAAGTACAGCTCCTGAAATGTGAAATAAAAAGCAACAGTAGAACAAAGCCTCTGACTTGAACAAGGCAAGCAATGTCTACATGCTTTTTTTTCTCCATAAAAGAGATTGGATTGTTTTTTACATAGTTGTCAATTATTTTTACCAGCATGGGAAGACTCCTCTAATAAATTAAAATATTCATTACAGCAGATGCTTTCAGCAAGCTTCTTTGGATGAACAAATGAGATCAACCTGAAAAAACACTGTTTGGCTGAATATGAACATCACTAGTAAAATCACCAAACAATTTTTTTCCCTGTGGAATGAAGTATCCAGGAAAATTTATTTCATTACTGAGTGTTGCATGGGATTTATACCATCCAGCCATGGCAATGCTGCTGGTCCACTAGAGAAGACAAATCATGAGCTGAGCTGATGCCAAGACCCCCAAAAGTGTTGAAATCATCTCATGCTTTACAGACCAAATTCAGTACCTGACATGTTTAAAAATATGAAATTATTTTAATAAGTCTGTTTACATTTCAAACAAATCAGCAAACATTGTTAAAATTCACTTCATCTCAAAATCACAGAATCAAATATTCTGTGAAAATACTTACACCTTACTGTTTGACATTAATCCAACAATTAAAATAGTATCTGGAATGATTCTACGGATTTCTGCAGCTCACTGATAGAAAACATCCCAACCTACTCAAACAGTAAACAGAACAGTTATGATTTAACCCTTATCTCAAAATATCTTTTTGAAGTTACTTAGCAAAAATAAACATCTCTGTACTTAAAATAAATGATGTACAATTACAACAGCTCTTATGCAACCTGTAGTATAATCTGTAAAAAAAAAAAAAGTTTCTCATTTGACTGTGAGCCTGGTTCCAGACCTGTAAATAAAGACTAGTGATAAAGTCTCTGGCTGCCACCATGCCCAGGGGAGATCTGCTGAACTAGACTCTATTTTGTCACAGAAACTTGCACAACAGTAACTCAGACACAAAAAAAAGTAAATTGCCATGGTACTTCAGAAAAAGAGGTTACTACAGTCCCTACAGTGAAAAGTATATATATATAAGAATTTGTACAAAATATGGGCTGACAGATAAATGGCATTTGAGGAGAAAGTATATCAGAGATTTGTATTTTACCTTGTGAAAATCCATCAAGTAGGGCTACAAAAAGAAAAACAACTGTGAAGTTCAACAAAGTTCTCTACAAAAGAGCAACTATCTGCTTTCAGGAAAAAAAAATACAAAAAAACCCCCAAACTTCCAGGGAAAAAAAAACCCACCAAAAAACATAACTCTGAAGTAGTTATGACTGTCCAAATCTGTGACTCCAGAAAGAAATCATATGAAGCAACTAAGAATTGACTAATACTTCTCCCTCCTGCAGGAATTTAAAATGGAAGTTTTCACAGTTCCATTGATGCAGTTTAACAGTCAGAAGAGCAAAGAGGGGCTGGGAGTTGATTAGTCAGTCAGTGTTCTTAACAAAGTTTATTAATTGGTTATTTTGTGTCCTGAAAGCAGGTGGTAAAAAGGGTGAATTGTAATACAGGGATACAAATTTCTTTTTTTTTTTTTTTCAAACTGAGAGCAACCAAAATACATTATTCCACTTTTCAGAACAACCATTCTAATGCAAAGCTGATCACATTAATGGTGCACTTTGTAACACCCCATGGAGACAAGGCAAATTAGTACTTTGGCCTCTTTGAATATCATCTTATCTGAGGCCTAGGGAGTAAGCAGAAGTTGATAGTAATTAACTGTGGCCTTTAATAATAAAATTATATGAATCTTCCAATGCTAGATTTTGTAATAAAGGCATAACTTCATGGTGGCAGGAGCACAAGAAGATACCAAAAATAGCTGAACACATCTTTAGCCATGAATGAGAAGCTTCTTGTTTTGTTTTAGGTAATAATCATAGAGCATGAAATTTTGACAACTTGGCATGTTTTGAACTTACTTTTACTTCACTCATTTTTAAGAGTAAATGGCTGATGGTATCTAAAAATATTAAATGAAGGGCAGCTTTGCAGGAATAGGAGATGGGATTCTTAAAGTGAAACTCTAAAGAACCTTCTCTTTTGAAACACAGGTTAGAAAAATACCATCATACTATATTAATGAAATTTTTATTCAACACCCAGCTCTTCCATTTGATGGGGAAGCAGACAAATGCATACCTTAAAGAAGAACCCCAAACAACAGAGTACTCCTCTACTGCTTTAGAACTGATGAATGCACACCCATTTCTCCTAGACTTTGTAAAAAACAAAAAAATTGGTAGGAACCCTTAGCAGAGTGCCTTATCAGGAAGGGCCAGCCCAACCACTGCTCTTTCAGTTCTTCCAGAAATGGCTTATTTGTGTGCAATGAATAAGCAGATGCTAGATATCATTGGAGTACATCACAGTGAGCAAACACTGCCCACAGGCTGGGGTGGAACAGCAGCACACAGGCACAATCCCTCTTAGCAGGTGTTCAAATTACATGTTCTTAAAAGCTTAACACTTCGTCTGGATTCCAGATATCAACCTCACTGCTAGCAAAGCTGGAAACAACAATGGAAATCATCAGTACAAAAAGAAATTGCTGTAATAGGCTTCAAAGAACAAACAGCTTCCATGCTCCTCTTTATTTCAACAGAGATGATTAGTTAAGGTGCTTTAGGATTCTGCACGGCAGACAAACTGGCAGAGGTGGCCATTCAGTAAGCTCTGGAGTCTTTAGCAGGTATCTGAGGGCAGCAAATGGGGCAGAGCCCTGAACTGCTAGTTTCTGTAGCGGGGCATCTGTGGAGCAGGGGCTCCCTCTAAGGGGACCGAGGAGGAGACTGTCATCAGCTGTCCACCGTGAATTCTCTCATTCACCCGCAGGTCACAGCCATCCTGCAGCATCCTTATAGCTATCCTTGCAATGTTTTTAGAGTCATCAAGTCCACTGTGAGGTCTCCCATCATAATTCATGCCCAGATTTTCAAGCATGATTGTCAGCTTGGTCTGGTTTCTAGGAACCTGATGGAGAAAGTGAGTAACGTTCAAGGATTAGGTTTGGTACCAAGTCTTTTAAATCTAACACGGGGCAGTAGAAACACATGCAGATTTTAAGCCTACTTAAGTCACACATATGACTTTCATGTTGCCTTCTGTCAGACCACTAAACATTTAACTTCAAAGCACCTTGGTGAGACAGACACTCATTTTTACAGAGGAGAAATAGTCAACAGGAATTTGTCTAGACCTGGGATCATGTCAAGAGCCTCTGACCAGCACCAGCTCAAGACACACTTGTGCTGGCAAGGGTGGAAGCCATGACCTAGATAAGTTTAACTATCTTTATAAAAAACAAAAAACAGTGGCATTGTAAAGGAAATCTGAGTTTGGCTTTCCTTTTAAATTCTAAGTGATTAAAGAAGAACCAAGCTCCTGATTCTCACTGACATCAAGCTCCTGAATGCCTTCAACCTTCACAGGATCTCATCAGCAACACCTACAGCAACCCTGTAATATTTGTCCAGCACAAAGTAAAGCTCTTCCTTATTAGATGTCAATCTCTCTTTTATCTACAGGTTACATTTTGTATGAAAAAGCCCTTCAAAAGAAGACCATTAGCTAGGTTAAATCCCTTTCAAAAAAAGTATTTTACTGTAGACTGATTGGGAATTTGCTAGAATCATTTTATGGTGGTCTGACAGAAAGCAGCAATAAGGTCCAGCACTGAACTCAGTATTACTTTTCTCTTGACAATTTGATTCCACTGTAGATACATCCTAATCTTTCTCTGCCTCCATGACACTGTCCAAAGTCAAGATCCTATGAGGGTAATGGTACATGTTAATTTTGTAGTGTATTGCATGAAAACAGGAAAAAATAATCAAAAAATCAAGACAGTCTTTTCAGCTGAACTACTTGATCTAAGAGGACTGGTATAACATTTTTAGGCAATCGTTCAAGGAGCACAACCTGATTCTTAAAAACAAGATTAAAATCAAAATGCACTAATTATATGATCTTCAATTAGTGAAGTGAGATCTGCACATGAAACACATTTGAAAATCAGGCACCAGACAAGTAGTTCAAGTACTATAATTTTATACTACACAAGTAGAGATGACAAGCACAACAGGTCATTCTAGACTTTTAAACCAAAATTTCCCGTAAGAGAAACAGCAATTTGTACAAACCTTGTAGAAGTTCCCATATGATTTGCGAATATTGATCCACTTTTTGGCAAAAGAAGGGTATTTGATACGGCTAATACGGCACTGGATGTTCAAAAATTTACTCATATCCCAAGATCTTAAAAAGTCAAAAGAGGAAAACGTTAGTCATGTATAATTCTGTGTTCTGCATATTGCACAGTTGTAGAGCTAAAAGCTGTCTTGTCTCAGGTGATCAGTAGAATGAAAACAGTTTAGGAAGCTATAGTCCTGGTAAAGAATTTTTTTATATGAATTTGTTAATCATGGGGAAAAAAATAGGAGCAAGACTTTCACCAGGATGGTTTCAGGTCCACAACAGTTAGGACAAAAAATAGCACACCAACTATTCCATCTACCACATCAACATGGAAAACTGCCAATAAATTAGATGCTTACACAGCCCTTGGGGAAGCAAGTGACACCTTAAATCTTCCTGATTATTTGGGTATGCATTTATCTCTCTACTTCAGGTAGAAACTAGACTGCACCTAGTTTTATGAGAAACCAGTTCTCTATGAAAATAGGAAGAAATTACAATCCTATTTATTTAGCAGCCTGCCTTCCTGAAGTGAACCACCCCAACAAGTTTGTAAGCTGCAAGCTAAAGTAAAGCTTTTTTCCCCCATCTCTTCTAGCTCTCTATGCAATCTCACCTATACAACAGAGATTTCAATGCTCCTATTTTCCTTAAGGAATTTCACTGGGGGGATTCCTCTGGAGGGCAATTCCAGAGACATTTAGGCCCAGTAATATAATCAGTCTTGCACCAGCTTTGCTTTCGCATTTTCTTTTTTTTAATTCACTGTTGCTTCCAAACATAGTAGTGTAATTATAGGTTAAAAATTAAAAATTGCAGAGTATTATTTTCAGGTGTTATGTGCTAGATATAAATGGAGAATTACAGCAGCAACAAAGTGCAGTCTTCAGCATCGCAGTTGCATACAGCCCAGTAGGAAAGAAACGGCGCCATCTGATGGATTTTAGCTTCATTTTCAATAGTTCAGTTCAGCTGTACCAGTCAAACAATCTTTTTAACAAAAGCTTCCATTAAAATAAAACCAGCAAAATGGCAGTGTCCTGATCCATCTTTAGCAATGCTCTCACAAATACTAAACGTGGTTTTGCAGTTTTAGATTGTGCTGAAGGCTGTATAAGGACATACCCATCAGTCAACAGGGAATAGCTGTACTTTGTTCCCAGTTCTCGCTGTCTCATCCACTCTATGACATTCTGCAGAACTTGAGGAAAAATATCAGCTTTATCAACAATGTCCTAAGGGAACAAAAAAAAAACAAAAAACCACAACAAAAACCCAACAAAAACCCTATTAGTAAGAAACATTTTTTCAGAAAAAAATCCCTCAGCATTAAGTGTATAAACTGTGTTGGTATATGGGCAATTAAAAGCTTGGCTTAATCAAAATCTTTACAAAACCAGATTATATGTTAACAGATCACTGGACAGGTTTTTCTAAACTGAAAAAACAGCACCACAGAAGCACTGCTACAAGAGCCAACCTCTTAATAGATTCTGTAAAGGTAAAAGGTTAGTCCGTGGCTGAACCTGGATTAAAACCTTTAAGGTTGTTTCCCAGGCTCCTTCTTAAGTCACTTATCACAAGCCATTGCCATCCTAGGACTCTAAACTCTTCAGAACAAAAATATTAGGAGAGGAACTGATGTGATTCACAAGGTGCTTTGCCCTACTGAAGATTAAATTTCTCCACATGAATTAAAAAGAAAATATTTTTCCCCATAAAATGACCAACTTAATGAAATCAGCTCTGTGATAACTGGGAGAGGGAAAAAACAAGGATTAAGATAATAGGCCTTACAGAAAAATAACCATAAAAACTACCATTTAAGGTTACCAGTCTGAAAACATCAACATCACATCCCTTTTTTTTTTTTCTATTTCTTCCTGAAGAAACAAAAGTGCAAATTACCTGTGTTATTCCTGTCAGACTGATGCAGAAGTCTGAAAGCTTGGGATTAATCTCTGGCTTCACGTATTGCTGAAAGGTATCCTCCTGTAACAGGAGAATCAATGGCTCAGCTGCAGCACACTCTGCAGCCTGCAAGGCAACTTCTCTGGCTCACCTGCAGCCCAAAGGCAACAGCAGCTACTTGTTTCTGCTGCAGGCAAAAAGCAGTGTGCACCTCCCGAGCCAGTAGGAGCCCCCTGACTGGCCATCATCAGATTCCTAACAGGACAGATAGCTTTCCAACCAGAACATGCCCTTCCTCTCAGCCAGTAGGCACCAAAGAGTGGGAATGTGGACTTAAGAAGGAAAAAGGATTTTTTCTGCAAAAAAAAAGCAGATTTTGGAAAAGATTTAGGAAAAGAAGAGTGAAAGTAAGGAAATAAATGAGAGGCATGAGCAAAGCCTTATGTTTTTTAGGTGATATCTCTAAAGGTTCACCTGCAATTCAAGGAAAGCAACCAACTGCACACCTCAGAAGCTTCAGGCAAGTCCTATGCCTCTGGATGCCAGCCAGGCAGAGACAAACAAAATCTCTCTGGGAAACTGAGCAACACAAGAGTGAAGACTGAAGGCAAGTTTCATGGAAAAAAAGAAAGCCCCAAATCCCTGCTGTTATACAAAACCTTTTGGACAGACAGAAAAAAACCCACTCTAAGTGCAATAAAAACAATCCTGGTAATCTGCACAATCCTTTTTCTGCTGTTAAATCATACAGGCAGCTATTCTTTACTGCAGCACCACAATGATTACTGGAAATCCTCTTCCCATTAAGAGTTCTTCATAAACAAACCATTAGTCAGAGGTGTGTGCACATCCTCTGTTTCACTCAATTTCAGTTAAGCAGCAGGTGGTTTAGCCTAAAAGAACTAAAAGTACTGGAACCCAGCACTTGAGGCTACCAAATGCCTGTGAAGTATGTTTAAATCAGGTGACACAGCTGTCAGTCTGTTGGGTACAATGTGGAAACAGCTGAGCCTGACAAGAAGTGGAGTTCACTCAACCTCACTTTCTAGACCTCTGCATTAGTGTGTTCTAGATCGCCTCACACAGGACCACAGAAATTGATCATTTTTGATTATGATGAATGCCTCGAGTCCTAGAAAATGATTTGTGGGCCTTAAAGTAGGGAAAGAAAGGGCAGGTGCGAACATACATGGACAACTGAGAAATTTGTATCAATAGAAGGAGCTGACAGCAGGAGAATGATCTACTTGGATGATCATTTGGAAAATGCTTTCAGAAGAGAAAGTTTTGTTTGTACCTAAGAGGTACAGAGGATAAACCCTTATGAAAAAAAAGCATGCTATTTTTAATGAAGTTCAACATCTACCTAGAAACTAATCTACACCTTCTGATGCAAACAAGTTACTTCAAATAACAGCATACCAACACAGCCATTAGATCACTTACTATTTCCAGGGTACGTGTGTTTACTAAGACAACAGGAAATTCAATTATTTCATGTACAAATTCAGGTGGATTTCCTTCTTCACAAGTTGCTTCAAAGTCAACGACACAGATGTAGTCATAGCAGCTGTCTCCACTAATGTGGTCCTTCTGCATCAGCTTCTGTTTCTTATAATAGTTTTTCAATCTCTTTTTCAGTACATCTTTCACTCCTCTAAAGAAATAGGGAAAGTGACAAAGATCACACTCTTGTTTAATTATTTCCGTGTTGTAAAACTGAACCTATATTTAACATTTGAAAGCTCAAAACATATTAACCTCATTTTCAACACCAGCACATGTGAAGTCTGAATTCCACTTTATCATAGAGGAGTGTTAGCCCCATTATCTACACTACATTAAACCCATTTCTGGGATAACCCAGAGGCTGATACCCCTCCCAATACAATAGCAGACACAGACTGGGAAGCATGGCACACAGAACTCTGCAGTTCTTGCTTCAGCAAGACTCACTTTCCAAAGCTCAAGTCTTTGCAGATTGCTCCAGGCTGACCTCTGGCCCTGGAAGAAGTAGTGCTTCACCTGTACTCCCCCGTGCCCTCTACCTGAAGTGATTCATGCCCGAGGCCTTTCTGCATCAGTGGCAGAGACAACACAGAATCCATCTTAAACATCCACATTTTACATTCTTCTCAATTTAAATTTTAAATTGAGCTTGAATAACTCAATTAAAATAAAGTATTTGTATTTGAGATTTCAGTTGTTAAAAAAACCTCCTGGTCAAGATCCTGCTTTTCAGGAATTTTGTGGCTACAAATAAATTCACATGGCAAGTGATTTAAGTTACTTACTGTGTCATTTTAATATAAACATTTTAATATATGAGGGCATATTCCAGAACTGCCATGGACCAAATCAGAGCTGAATAAATGAGGATCATTTACCCATCCAAGGAAGTTATTTTCAAAATTATTCATTGCAAATGAAATCACAGAAGCTGTAAGAGATATGAGTAGCAAGTGGTATTATCAGAAAAGCAGCCCAGTGATCCACAAATAAGAACTTAAATCAAGCTACTAAACATGCATTTGAGAACATCAGCTGCTTCTGCAGAGAACTCTTCTTCACCCTGGTTTATTGGTCTAGTTTAAGTCAATAACCAGTTCATTAAAAGCTGAGAGCTTTTAATATGGGAGCTGATGGATGGGGAAATGACCTCTTTCTTTACTAAACTTATAAAAAAAAGGTTGAAAATAGGAAATGATTAACTATCACAATAACCTTGAAGGAAAGGATGGTGTGTGGTAATCTGCCCAATACTCTACATTAGAACTGATGAACTATTTGTTCACAGATAAGGCGTACTTGAATATATTGACAAAAGAAACCTAGCTTGGGTAAAAGAGAAATCTTAAGCCTTCAGCATTTACAACTAAATTTAAGAACTGATATAGAAAACTAATAACCTAAGAGAAGGCCACAAACACATCATATACTATTTGAATTCTGCTTTCAATTTTAAAATCAGAGCAACTGCTAAATAGCTAGAGAAATCGAATGTGTTTTACCAAAAATCTTCTCAAGTAATGATAAGATTTTCTCCTCATGAGGCACTAAATTAATTAGCCAACCAATTCCCCACCACTACTTCCTCATTCCTGCTGCCTACAGAAACAACACTATTTTTCTCAGCTGACCTTCTTCACAATATGTCAATATGTTGCCTGGCCACAGAATTATTAATCTTGCAGTACACCAGGAACTACACTATATTCCCTTGCCTCTGCCCCAGTGAACACAAATCCAGCTTACAATACATTCATTTTTTCACATTTTTCTAGCACACATATTCAGAGTAGCAAACGCTCCATCTAAAGGTATTTCTCCTCTGCAATGATTAAATCCTGAGCCCCACCACCAGAGTTTGTAGCAAGTACCAGATCTGCACTGGTACACTAAGTAAAAATATGGATGTTCTGAAGCAAGTTGATGTATGATGAAGGTCTGCAGCACCACCTGAGAACCACTGCAGCTCTTCTTTCCCCTTTGACCAAAAAGTGATGAGAAGTACCTTACAGTTATGTATTCAAGCATTTCTTTGGGTTGCCAGTTGAGACAGCACACATTAAGCAGTACACATTAATCCTACAACAAAAAAGCTGCAACAAGATTGCACATGAAACAACTGGTGTCTGGTGCTGTGCCTGCTTTTCACTTTGTGCTGAGTTTTTAAACTTTAAAATAATCATCCCTCATGACTCTACTGCTCTCAAAGATAAATCAACATGTTTACAAATAACCTGGTTTCAAGCTTGAACTCTGCAAGTTTACTTCTGAGCTCTTCTCTGGTCATTCTGTTGATACAACCATTGGTTATAGCGATTTCTTTGTAAATTGGATCACTGAAGTCATTTGCACTGGCAGCTGATGTTTTGCCATTAGTTTCTTGATCACTGATCCCACAATGCTGTCTACCCTAGGAGAAAGAGAAATCAGGAAGTCATTTAACAACGTCAAAACAAGATGCTTGAGCATTTCACAGCTCGTTTTGGCACCAGAACAGTAAAGCCTCACACTGTTACACTTGCGATCAAACGGAGCGAACTAGCTGATAGAAAGGTAAGCGAATCAATACCGAAGCCTGCTCTGAAACAATGTTTTCCTAAACAGCAACAAACAGAATAAAGGGACACTATTGCCCGTGTCTTGAGCCATGTCGAACAGCAGCTCTTGGAGACAAAACTTGAATATGCATCCCAATCTCAACAGAAAGAGTTCTCTGGGGCAAACGGGCAAAGCCTTCACGAGCAGCGAGATATCTCTCGGCGACTGAGCTAACCAGACTCCACACTGACTGGGACACGCGGGCCGGTGCCCAACGCGTGCAAGATAAACAAAGCAATAAACGAGAGGAAAAACTGCGGGCACTTCCCGGCTCCCGGCCGCTGCTCGCGGCCTTCGTGGGGCCCACACACAGCGCGGCCTCGGGAGGGCGAGCCCCGGGCAGGGCCGGGCAGGGCCGGGCGGGCCGGGGCCGAGGCGGGNCACTCACCGGCGGGAGGGCTGCGGGGGCAGCCGCCGCCTCGTCCCGGGCGGCCTGCGGGCGGTTCTCTTTCTGCTCCTGCATGGCGGCGGCGGCGGCGGGAACCGCGGGGGACGGCGGCCCGTCGGAGGCGGGAGAGCGCGGAGCCCGCCCCTGGGCGGAGCAGGGCCCCGTGAGAGCCGAGCGGCCGCGGCTGCCGACGTTCCCGTCTGCCATCAGACACTGTGGTGGGCATGGCCACGAGAGCCCGGCAGCCCTCTGCAGCAGCACCGCCGTCTCAGCCCTCCAGGGCTTCTGCCCAGCAGTGCCCCCGCGGTTTGGGGTCACGGCAGCTCTCCGGAAGCCCTCTCCGTGTTACGGGAAACACGCACTGGGCACACACCTCATTTATGTCTCCTTGCTCCTCCCCACGGCACTGATTTTGCACAGAGCACCCGAAACACGATCTGGGACACCCGTGGTGTGTTCAGCGCCAGGTCACAGCCACCAGAAGGATGCAGTTGACCCCCAGCCCCTTCCTGCCAGGGAGTTTGCCGTGTCTGCTGTTCCCCATATCCCTTAATCCACAGCCAACAACCAGGGTGAGGTGGGTGACACAAGACGTATAAAGCTCTCTGGATCTTCTTGGCCAGGAGGTGAAGGCAAAGCAGTGAAGTCTCTCTGTCCATCACAGGTCAGCTTGTTTTCTGCTGGTGCTTCCCACCGTCCTGAAGTGCCACCCAGCATCCCTCAGTGATGGAGGCTGATGTGTGGCACCCACCTAAAGCAACCACGCCAATACCTCCACATCTGCCAGCCACTAAACAGCCCAGAAATTTCTCTCTGCCCTGCTGTGGCTGGGGCCCTAGCACACACCCTCAGTCAGACCTCCTGTCTCACTGTGGCACACCAGCATCTCCTTGCAGGGGATGACATCCCCTCCCCTAGACCCGCTGTGCAGCATTTGTCACCATCGGGTGGGTGTGCCACAAGAGGTCTGTCTCTTCCACACTGAGCGATGACAAAGTGAGATCACACACAAGTGCTTGGGGCTGTAAGTCCTGCTTTTGGCTGGGACAGTTAGCTTTCTTGGAGGCTGCTGCAGCTCTGTGTTTTTTGCATTTAGTATGATAATATTGTGGATAATACACTGATGATTCAATTGTTGCTCAGTAGTGCTCACTCTAAGCCAAGGCCTTTCAGTTTCTCGTGCTCTGCAGTGAGAAGGTGCACAAGCTGGGAAGGAGCATGGCCAGGACAGCTGACCCGAACTGGCCAAAGGGATATTCCATACCATGGAACACTTTGCCCAGTATATAAATGGAAGGGAGGAGGAGGAGTTGACTGGGAGCTGCTGATGCTCATCCCCATCACTAGGGGAGGGGCTGGGCATCAGTCAGTGAGCAGTGAGCAACTGCACTGTACATCACTCATCTTTCCTGGGTTTCATTCCTCTCTCTTTCATTGCAATTACTATCATTATTATATTTACTTTGCTTTCATTATTAAACTGCTTTTAACCATGGCTTTTACTTTTTTCCTTCCCACCAGGAGGTGGTGGTGAGTGAGCAGCTGTGATGATGCTTACTTGCCAGAAGGGGTTAAACTGCAGCAGTGGGAGGGGATTTGCTGCCATTTTTAATTCATCCTCCTGGTGCTGTCACAAATGCTCCTGTTCTCAAGCAGAGGACCACCTGCCTTATTATTCTGCCTCCAAAACCTGCTCTGAATATGAGCAGGAAACCAAGCTTTTCACAAATGCAAACATGATACCAATGAGAACCATTGAGCTGGCCTCACAAACCCATAAAATACTTTAAAAGGTAGCGGGTAGAAAAGCTGTTCCCCAGAAATCACCTGCCTTGCTAAAGTGGGCAGTGATTCACAGACATTCCATGCAGGGGCTCCATGCTCAGATTCACTCAATGGCAAATCTCTTCATGACTTTTCTACAGCACAGATCTACAGCTAGGTGCAGAGCCTTCCAGAGCTAAAACCCAAGGAGGCACTGCAAGAAGAAAAACAAATGACACAGCCAGAACTCTCCTGGAGATTGAGATCACTTTTATTTTCAGTCATTTTGGCGAGGACGTGTGGGCAAGTGTGGGTGTGGTGCGTGTATGTCTGGGCATGCATGTGTGTGTGCGCAGAGTCCTGCCCAGTGATGTGGATTATGTGAATACCTGCAGTTACAGTCCATGAACTGAGCCATGAAGCGTGTGATGAGTGCTACACTGAGGCCCACTTGCTTGCCTCTTCTTGTGCTTACTGCAGTGCAGCATCTCCACCTCCCGGCACAGCTGTTCCAAGGATGCCAGCCCAAGATCCCATCCAAAGGGCACGAGAGGAACTGAGCTCTGGGATCTGGCTCTGCAGGAGTGAGCCAGTAGATTTTCATCTCACTTAGTGAGTTCCTAAGTAACATTTGCAGTTCCCTTTGACACAACTCTAACTCCTCACAGTGAGGAGCCTCAACTGCTTGGACAAACTTTAGCTGCCTCAGAGGTACAATGGGAAAGAGAACAGGGACCCCACGTAAGTTCCAGTGCTACAGCACAGCCAAGCACATCTTGAGTTCCTGGGAAAGCAGCACCCAAATACACTACTGAGTTTTTACAGCCACCCTGAAACTGTGGCATGGGGGATGCTGCAAGGGAGACGACCCATGCTTCTGCAGCCCCCAGTCTCTTCCATCTGATCCGAAAGACTGTAAGGCAGGGTAAATCCCAAACTAGGCTCTATTTCAGTTTAACTTTCTAAAGCAGAATCCTCCAAGCTCAGAGCAGAGACAGTGCAGAAAGAACAGCACTGCCATGAAAGGAGACTAGTGAAAAGGATCCTGGCTTGTGGCAGACTGGAAACAATCTTCTCTGACCCTTTTGCTTTATAGCAAAGTTAAAACAAGAGGTGTATCATCACCCAGGACCCTCTGCAGCTGCCAGAAGTCTCAAAGTACTCCTGTAAACCCTAAAATGACCTAAAGGTGCAGCATCACCGTTTTGGGCTCACTCTCTCTCACCTCTACCTATTTGTATGCTGCTTAGGGACATGCAATTCCTCACATTGCACAGACTCATTAGAAGGCAAAGCTGCTGTCCTGGGAGTTTGACTTGGACGGATGCAGTTTTGAATCCCAGGATTTGCTTCAGAGCGTAACACAACGTACTCCAGGATATCTTCCAGCTGCTGAAAGTCCTGGAGTGCAAAGCAGCTTGTTAGCTCTGTTCCAAATCTGTCTGAACCAGTTTCAGCAGGAAATCAAAAACCGGTCAAGCAAGGGGTCTGCAAACCAATAAGCAAAACCAGTACAATCATCTTGGGTGAAGTAGGCATTTGGAGATTGCCAGGAGACTCTCCTCCTATTCCACAGGAGTTAAATTCAATGTCAGCTCCACAGGGAGACAGCTGATGCCCCAGTCCTTTCTGACCTCTTTATAATACATCTTCAGTAAAGGCTGCAGAGTGCTCCACAGAGGCCTTAGTCATTTCTAACAGTTTGGTAACTCTCTGAGCAGGGACAAGAACTGGAACATAATACATACTCTGAACTCAGGTACCTGCTGTTAGGGCACTGCATTCAAGCCCTCTTTCCTTGTGGCTTGATTCATGAAAAATGACAGATCCTTCAAAAATACAGGGCCCTCATCCCTGGGGCTGAGGAATATTAAGTGGGGTCTGAGGCAGGAGCTCAGCAAAGGGACGCTGTATGAGGATCCCAGGGTGCATCCTTAAAACATAGCGACAGCAAAATCAAAAGTACTATGAGCCGCTTGGTTTGGTTCTCCTGCATGGATCTCCCACCTGGCAACTGCAAAGGCGAGATGTTTCTGAACTGCATAGAAAATTAAATGGCTTTTGCATATTAAAAAAATTTGGATGAAAACACAGTTACACCAGTTACTAAACAGTGGGTGGATGAGCAATCACCGTTTTGTATTAAATAGACCCAACTAGATTGATCTCCATACTGCCACACTCCCGGCATTACGGCTTCAGTGCACAGCAGCAGCCTGAGTGCCTGCAAAGGCCAGGGAACGCTCCCACGGAGGTGGCACACCCCGGCAGGAGGGCTGCAGTCCCAAGGAGCAGGCTGTGAGACGTCTGCTCTGTCCTCTCATTCCTTCAATGCTCACGCATCCCAGACCAGATGGGCACACTGGGAAACAGGCCTCCAGCTGGAAAAGGATTCCAGTTTGTGGTTTCTTTACAATGTGGTTTCCACGCAACTTCACAGCAACAAATCGCTAGTTTCTTCCTATGGAGAATGGAAAGAGAGGTGAGTAGCAGCAAAACAGGAGGAGAAGGCCACCCAGCATGGGAGGTGACAGTAGGGAATGCTCTAACACAAGTTCTGCCTGTACCAGGCATGGTTCATGGCAGCAAGACTGAGGACAAGGGAGTTTCCTATTGTTATTCCTGAGCACCATGCAAAAATCTCACCTCCCTTTCACCTCCTCCAGCCACCACAGACAATTCTGAGTCTCGAGTTTATCCACAGCAACACAGAAGCACAATCAATTAACGATTCTCACTGACGTAAGGAGGTTCATTGCCAGAGGTAGCAGGTCAACACATGAAATCTGAGCCCAAGCTACCCTCCCAAGCTGGAATGATACCCTGAAGAGACAGGAAGCTGACTGAGCTGCCAGCTTTTATTTGGCAGCTTTTCTCCCTGAGTAAGGTACATGGCTTGATTTCTTCTACCTGGCCTCTGGATCTCCTGCTGGAATGGATTCTGCCCTGCTTTCCCAGCATTAAGTTCTTGCCAATGGGAAGATTTACAGCCTTGTACATAAGGCTGGCATTTGAAGGATCAGAAACCAGGGGAATATAATCTGTGCAACTGCAGCAGATCCCAAGAGGACACCTCACTGTCTTGCAGGCCTGGCCACATCCTGGTAGGCACTGCCTGCTGACCTGTACCACCCATCCCAGGTCTGCCATCACAGCCCAGAGTTAAGAGCTGTACATTAACACAAGCATTTTAAGTCCCTCATCTCTCAGACCTCCCGCAACATATGATGAAGGGATCCTAGCTCTGGAAATGCCTGCCTCCTATTGATTTACATTAAATAAATATTTGCATGGAGCAGGACTCACACAGCACAGTTACCAGGGCTCAGCTGTAGGGCACAAACTAACAGGAATATCTCAGAAGTCCTCAAAGCCACACAGCTGGGGGAGAAACCAGAACTTTGGTACCAGTGCTCAGCCTGCCCTTTCCCACATCTGGAGAGGGAAGATGGCTGCTCATGAAGCATGGTTCCCGGGGTGAGCCAAGGGGATGGGGATCAGTTTGTACCACACAGCCACACACTGCTTCACCAGATGTCTGCACAAAGATGCCTGGTGGCTTTCCTAGGAGGACGACCAAGATCTAGGTTTTTAGTGCTCCAGTGGACACAATGCACAGACAGTACCACAGTGGCAGTACCAGAGCATCCAGACATGGCAGACCAGCAGCTGTTCAGGGATAATGGTAACACTAGGGATAAATAACACGTGCCAGAGGCATGCTGACTGCCCTGCTTCTGACTTCATGGCACAACATATGTGAATGCACAGGGCAGGAGACATTTCCCAGCCTGCTCCTCTGCCAGCCTCCACTCAAGATTGCTGCATGGGACACAGCCAACTGTTTTGTGGTGGAGCAATTTTAAAGGCTTCACAGTATCACCTCCCCCACCCCGCCCCAGCAAAGCTTTGGCCAACTGCCACAAAACTCACTTGTCCAGGAACAAATCCAGGGAATCCCGCTACAGCTCATTTCAAGAGACTTTCCTCCAAGCAGGTCTGAATTAAATGGTATACCAAGAACATTTTTACATTCATCATGAGATCCAAATGGGTTTTCAACACACGATCAATGGGTCCACAGAAACCTATCCCCAGTGTTTTCCCTCCGGCCAGCGGCCCTGCCATCTGCAGCAATGATTTTCCTTCATGCCTTGTCATCCCCAACCTCCAGATGACTTCATCCACTCCAGCCATGAGGCCCCCACCTGGGAGCTGCCCCTGCCCCACAGCATTTCTTTCAGGGTCCAAAGTCCAAAGTCCCATTGATCCCCGTCAGCATCAACTCCACGACTGGAAAGATGGGAGCACTGCAGAGCATCAGCCATGTTCTGTCCGGTGGAAAACCTTTGGCACCAGCGCTGACGGTTTATCTGGAAGAGGAAAGGATAAAGAAAAAGTAATGCAGCAGGGTTCATAGTGCTTGTGATGAATAACCTAAGACACACAATTTTCTCTAGGCTTCTAAATAGGGAGTGTGAAGTGAAGAAAAAGTAACACAGGCCTTTTTGAGAACACAAGCTTCCTGCCAGCAGAGTGACTGTGAAACTGGGACACAGTTAACAGACGTTGTGGAAGGCAGGCTAGAGGACAAGGAGGATTGGAGGCATAGCCTGACAGCACAGTACAATAAAAATGGCATCTGCAGGTTAGAAACGTGCTGTGCCAAGTACACACACACAGGAGAACCAAATGAACAGGCAGTAATGTCCTGTGGCTCAGTATCAGAGCACCTTTTTTTTTCTGCCCCAGGTGGGCACTTCAACCTCACCTTCACACACAGCTCAACAACCACCCATCACTGGAGCTATGCTCTACCAGGAGTGGTATTTTGGAATGGGAGGGTACTGAACAGAGAGAAGAGCATCTAAAGCTACTGTCAAGACACTGAAGTGAAAGTAACAGGCACTCACATACAGCACAGCAGCACACACCAGCAAGACACTCAGCTGCTCCTCTAAGCTCCCTACCAAATTCCCTTGCCACTCCAATTAGACAGACCCTGGCTGAATTTCTGTTTTTTTTGGAAAACCCATGCACCAAAAAGCCAAAAAGCACTGTCTGCTTTTGTGAGTATTGTTCCACATTTTTTCCCCATCACAATACAGCTCTGTTTTCCAAGCACATTCCCACTCTGTGAAGTGCATATAGGCTATAGATACACAAGAGGGTAGGGCTCCTGTCCAGGAGGATCTCAACCAAGTTGGAGGACTGAATCAACAACAGTGCTGTAAAATTCAACAAGGACAAGTGTATAACTCTGCTCCTACAACAGGGCAACCCCATCCACCACCACAGCCTGGAGTCCTGCTGGCTTGGGATGTGGTGGAGAACACGTTGAACACAAGCCAGTAATGCATCTTATGGCAATGAAAACCAAGTTAATAAAATAAAGTAATAAGGGAGACTCAGATGGAACAAAAGGAAAGAAGTTCTGTCCCAGAATAAAGTCTGGAGAGGCGGTAGCACCTCCATCCTTGTCATCCTCACCTATACAAGGTCCCAAGGAACCTGACCTGCCCGTGAGAGTGGTGCTGCTTGAGAAGGGGGTGTACAGAAATCTCCTGAGGTCCCATCCCACCAAAACCCACCTATGACTGCATTATCTCCTGATCCTGCACCTGCTCAGAGAACATCTCAGCCCATTTCACTGTACTCCTTATCCTCTGAGTGGCCTGTCTACAGCCACAAATAATTAGAACAGTCCCCAGGCTGTGGGGCTGCTACCTTCCAGAAAGGAGTGCTTAGTGAGGGCATGTTTTACGTAGGCTTTCTGATGTCTACTGACAGGGGAATAGGTCTGCTTTCTGCTCTCACTTGGAACAAGGGCTGATCACAGTAGGAGTGGGGGGGTAAACCAAGGCAACATTAACTCGCTCGCTGCCATTCTTGGGACAGATGATCTCCGTCAGTCCCTCTGGTCTTGGCTGACTCAGCAGTTCTCCTGTGAATAAAGGAAAACAGTGAAAATTTTTAAGCATCAGCAAGACAATTTTTGCTTTTAGTATGCCCTTCCTCTCCCCCTCACCAGGTAAGCATCCATGAGTGACGCAGGTGAGCACTGCAAGAGGGCTTACAGGTCCTGCAACGCGAGCAGGTCCCATACATGCAACCGTGGTGAGTGTCCTGAGTACAGCTTGGAAGCATGCTGCTCCCCACACACATAACATCTGCCATCTTTCCAGTCTCTGCTTTGAATCAGTGCACACAGCCTCGAGAGCTCCTTAGGGATTCACAGCATCTGGATGGAACACTCCCCAGTGCCTCTCTCCCTGGGTGCATTTGCCACAAGTGCTATGGGACTGCTGCTGCATCCTGTCAGGACCCTTGGCTATGCTATATTCTGCTGAGCATGCAAATCCCAGCTTCCAGCTGTCAGCTCTTCCACAATGGAGGCAATACCAGCTCTGTGTTGAGTCAGTAGCAGTGGGGGCTCTCACAACGCCTGGTATCCCTCTGTGAAATGAGTTGCGTCAGCTCCACTGTTCAAGTGCCAAGTTGGCAGCTCCTCAGTGCTGGCACCCTTGCAGAATGTAGTTCAGGGCAAGACACAGGTCAGCACAGTGAGAGGGGAAAGCCAGTTGCTGAGATGTGCCCAGCCCTGGGGAACACTCCCCAACAGCTTGCTCAGCAGAGCAAATCAAGTTTCCTCCTGGCTCCATTCCACACATGACTGGCCTCAGCAAGGCAGATCCCCAAGCCATCAACACACCATCTCCTCGGAGTAGCCCATCTACAGCTTAGACACTCAACAGCACCAGACACACCTTTTGATACCTGTCTGGGAGGTAGGGTCTGCTCTCAGAGGCAATATGGGATGACCAGCAAGGGCTCAATTCTTCTGAGTTTGTCTGCATGGGTGCCAAACAAACCTACCCAAAGCTCAGGCATCAGGTCACAGCTGGCTTGATGAGTGACTTTCTTTACAGAGGCAGGGCAGCTGTAAGTGAGCTGCAGCCATAGGTCCACACAAAACTCTCTGGACCCATCAATCAAGAAGCCACAGCAAGCTGTCCTCACTTCAACTACAACACTAAAGACAGATGGTCCTTGGACTCCTCTATTTTTAAATGCAGTTGCAATAAATTCCTCTACTGTTAAAGAACATCAGAAAATGTCTCCTTCTGTCTAGTGGCTATTGCCAGGCACCCCAGGAAAAACAGAAAAGAAATCACACTTCAAAGTACTGCTCAGCCTGTGCAGCAATAGCTGCCCCATCACGGAGCATGAAACCCTACAAATGTTGCTTCCCTCTTCTCCTTCCCTCTTCTGCTTCTCTTCTCACTTTCAGAAAACAGCATGATAATGTGAAAACAGAGGGGAGGGCTTGGCAAGGAATATGCACAGTTCCCCTTGAGAGATACTTGTAGGGCCAGCAATTCCAGTTTGTTCCCATAGTCTGCAGTCTGAATTCACATTTGGTTTGAGTATCTCCCCTCGCTTCACACCTACACTTACACCTGAACTGGCAGAACAGCTTTTAAGAGAGGAAGATGCGTCTTCTAAACCAGAAGAAATGTGACGGCATTTGCAATTCAAAGTTAAGTCTGCAAGGCAGCGTCTTCAATTACATGAGCTGTCATATTTTGAAAGCAGCATTGCACCCATCAAGCATGTACACCACAGGGCTCCAGCTCCCAATTCCCAGGTTTCCAACCCCAGGCTGACTTCCGAGCTGCAGTACTGATAACTGTACTGAAACCACCATCTCTGAAAAACGAGTCACAAAATCAGTGCACCATTATGCACTTTAAAGACAGGACTAATATCCACTAAATCTTAAATCACAGGAGTGCAATAAGACTGGTCTGTCTGCTTGAGCCTTCATGCCTATTTCCATCTTCCCACTTCAGAAGTACTTAGATGGTGATTTTTCACACAGAGGAGATTGCTGTAGGGTAAAATAGATGTCTGATTTGCAGGCAAAACTCTTGCCATGGCTCTTCAGTCATCTTCCTTTTCTTCATGGCTCTACCTTCCTTCCTAGGCTGTCTCTAGGATAAAGCTCACCTTACCCTGTACCCAGCCCCAACCAAATCTCTTCCAGCCCCAGTCCCATTTCCTGCTGACACACATGCTGCTCCCCAGAAGAAAGACTTCCCTTACAATTTCACTGTAAGATAGATCATTCACCAAGTGGACAGAAGGTCACCTAAGCATCCTTAGTAGTCTTCCCCCTTTCAGCTAAAAGATGTCTTGCTGCTTTACTATACTGTTCCCATCCCTTCTCATTGCAAACTAGTCATCTTTGCTGCACAAATTCATCACAATACTAAACTAGGTGTAATTATCTAACTCACACCTCATATCACTACTGAATAAAAAAGCCAGTGCAAATGCCATTGCAATATGCGCTGTAATGTATAACAAATTAGCATTGAGACACCCTGCTTGGATACAACTCTCCGGGCCCAGAATCTTTCGGAGGTTTCAGAAACCTCAGATTTCTATTCAGAAATTACTCAATCTGTAGGAGATTATTATTAGATAATAAAAATCCTCAGGGCCACAGCAGGATGGGAAAAAGGAGATCCAATGAGGTACTGGACTGATTGATACAAAAGGAAAAGCTAAGTGCCTGGCATGGGGAGGTGTTTGCTTGGTATAATTGCTAAGTTTAAATGCAGTTTAAGCACCTTGCGTTTGCAGTACTTGTTCTGCCCCTGTGTACAGGCTGTATTTTGCACATTCCTCTGTGAGCCTGTCACAAATTTTACTGGAAACCTCAGCTCTGTTTGCCCTCTCTGAAAGGTTGCCTGCAATAGCACACACAACCATGAAACTTATCTTAGTTTTAATGTTAACTTCCACAGAAGCCCATAAAGTTTTAACCAAAACTCCAACTACTTTGTCTTAAAGCTAAAGACTACAACAGTCAAGTATGTGAAGAACAACTTGATTTTTCAGCAGACAAATCTGCATGACTAAGATTATTCATCTGATTTAAGAACAGAAGCCCTATTTTTAAAGGCACTTTAATGCTGTGTACTTGATGATCAAGGCCTGATGTTTAGATGCATTTAAATCCCAGATCAGTTGACAGTAGAGAGGCACCTGCCAAGCCTGGTTGAAAGCACCTGCAAACAGAGAGCAAATGCTTGAGAAGATGCTCCTTTGTTGCCTCTCATTTGCAATGGTACAAATGGCAGAAAAATTATGTCTGTCCCATGGCCACCCTCCTGGTGTTTTGGCACAGAAATTGATCTCCACAACTTGGTAAAATGTACTGCCCAGCAAGTTAAGGTTGAGGCACAAACCAAGACCCTGTCATGAAACTACCATGGTTAGTTTGGCTGCTGCCATAAGTTGGTTTGTAAAGTCCCCCGGGAAGATGTGCTGAGCAAGTCATGCTGCCCACAACATTTAAAAGAAATGTGCTACACATGGGCAGTACAAAGGAAAGGCAGGAACAAACCTTCACCCTTTCCCAGTGCTCCCACCAGAAAGGCCTCCTTCCTTTCAGCATTAGCCAGCCCACCTGAAGCAGTTACTTCTATGTGAGCAAGACGTTCTTCACTGCCAGTGTTTTATCCCAGAACACACACAGGCACGGGCTCACTCAAAGCTCATGCCAGTGATCAGACCCATGCATGCTGCAAAGCACACTTCAGTGGCCTTTAGAAAATACCCGTGAAATGCCAGATACCCGTGACAAATCAGAGAGCTAGGAGAGAGGCTGACAGCAAGAAAAGTGAGTACTTGTAGCAGTGTTTGGTTACTCCATGCTGGCAGCCAGACAGTGTCAGCTGTAAGCCTACTTGGCTGCCTAACAGAGAGAAAGGTTTGCATGCCAGAAGAAAATCCCACCCAGCCCACTTGCCTTCATGCAGCTCCCACCTGCAGTGGCTGTGCTAAGTGGCCCAAGGTTCCCCAGGAATCTGCTCCAAGGGCAGAGGGATGGGATACTCCAATCCAGCCTGTCACGCCATCTCCTCTCCCTCAGAGCTCCCATGACAGCACATTTGCACAGTATCAGACTGATGATGTTTATCATTTTCATGCTGTCAGGATCTGGGCCCCACTGGGACAAACAGCCAGAAGTGGATGAGGAGGACCTGGCCCCAGCTCTGCGGTGTTGCTTCTCTCTCTTCAGTCCTCCAGGGACCTTGAGGATATATTGCTCATGCTTTACAACAAGGACATGAGAGCCAAAACCAAGCTGCTCCTACATCTTGCCCTGCTTCAGCACTGACCCACTTACTCCATCATATATCCTAGAGCTGCTCCAACCAAGGACCCACTGGTTTTTGCAGCCTCGGTGCTCATATGTTCTCTTACCCCAAATCCCTTCTCACTCTTCCTCCTTGCTGAAGGCCTTCCAACACAAACCACTGCAAGTGTGGTTGACTGGAGAGAGACTTTACATCTCAGCCTCAAGTGCTTCTCCCTCAAGCCTCCTTTGACTAATCTTTGCTTGTGACATCTCTCAGCATAGTACTCAGCAGTCATGCCTTCAGAAGAATAGAGAATAGAACACTTCAACACTGCCTGTATACCCAAAGCACATGCCTCATGCTTGGTTTCCAACAGCAGTCAGAAAGCAGGGCTCACATGAGAGCTCTCAGAACACCCCTGGCTCTCAGAACACCCCTCTGTGTTGCATGCAGTCCCGTCCCCTTTCATTCATATGACTGCAAAGAAATTTGGGCTGGAGAAGCTACAGCTTCTGTGCCTGGCTGTTTGTTGTTTTAAGGTTCAATAGCTGGAGCACTTACACAATTACATCAAAGCTGTCACAGAGGCAGGGTGAGATGAATACCCATGTGCACAGATTTCCCCTTCTGCTTTAAGCACAGGAAACACCCTCACACACTGGGACTTTGCAGCTCTACAAGAAATCTTCCAGGAGTCTTGGCAGAAGGAAAGGGAAGGAGATGGTGTCTCACAACATTGTACTCCACACCATTTAAATCTTCTCTGCTTAGATTAAACTAATTACTTGCT